CCAGCCACTTAGTGGTTTTTCTAATAGTAGCTAACAGAAAATAGGGATGAGTTCCTTCTCTTTGTGATCAGAAGCCTAGGCCACTTGGACCAAACAGAACAAATTTGAGGCAGCAAGTAAGATTATAGAATAATTTTGAAAGAAGAGAAAAATTGGAAGAGACTTCCTAGACATAATTAAGGGTTATGTTGGCACTCCCCTGGCTTTTTTTTTTTTTTTTTTTAAGATACAGGGTCTTGCTATGTTGACCAGGCTAGTTGTGAGCTCCTGGCCTCATCGATCCTACTGCCTTGGCCTCCCAACATGCTGGGTGGGATTATATACCATGCCCAGCCCTGCTGCTTGTTTTGACCACATTTAAGTTGCTGTTTTAGAGGAGTATCTGGATTCTTCTTTCAAGGCAAACAAGGGAGTATATGACAAGGCTGGCTGATTTTGGTCCCTGTTGAAAAGCCATGGTTCCCCACTGGACAGCCTCACATGGATTTAAGAACATGAACAAGACTTCTTATCTCAGTTTAGCCATAAATATGTTCTTGATTTAGCAGATAACTGCCTTAGTGATTAGAAGAAAAGAGTCGCTCAAACCAACATTATTAGCAGCAGGTTATCTAATGGAGAGGATGGGGACAAAGGTGAAGAAAGCTTTTGTTTTTCTTCCCCTATACTGAGGGCCTTTTTACTGTATGAGGAATCAGGATTTCTGAATTGACATCTGTCTGATAGATATGGCCATTTCCAAAACTTTCTTTTTGATTTAGTTTATTCATTGGCGTGATTAATCTAGAACTAATCACCTAACTTCTGTGAGCCTCAGTTTCAGCACCTTCCTTGCTAAAGCAATCAGCATTTGAATTGGTCCTTGAAAGAGTCAAATAGCTAAAATGTAGCATGGCTGGAATCGAGATCCAAAGCCTGCATTCTTTCCATTGTATCACGGTACCTAAATAGCAGCCTCCCTGTAGTTTTTCTCACTTTCACTTTAGCCTGGAGTAAGATTGAAGACTTCTTTCCTCAGAAATGTCCAAACAAGGGCAATATATTCCTGAGTTTGGTACTCTTTAACATTATATGTGGTTGTTCAGCCAAACCTGCTGTGGAAAAGATTATGAGAAAGAAAGGCCATGTTAGGTAACTGATGTCTGGAGTCACAGAATGAGCTAGTCTTAGCTCAAGTTGACTTTATAAAACTTAGTCTGGCAAGTAACAAAACTGCTTCATTGACAGAGAGAAAGATGCATCATCTTGCCAGGAACAGTTGGATGAATTCCGGAAACTGGTCAGGACCTTCCAGAAATGGCTGAAAGAAACTGAAGGGAGTATTCCACCTACAGAAACTTCTATGAGTGCTAAAGAGTTAGAAAAGCAGATTGAACACCTGAAGGTAGGTGAACAAAGGGACTCCAAGAATTGGAATAGGCACTGGTTTGAATACTTGTATTAACTGGCCTCCAGCTGTGGTGGGGAAATGTATGAGAAATCCAAGTTGTTACTCTGCATCAGAACAGAAATTCCTCCGTTTTCTTTATGTGGTAACAATCTACCCATAGTCTTTGAGAAGCATACACTCTCTTTGTATGTTTGAGAATTAGACAAATATATTTGAGCAAGTAACCAGATAATATTATCAGGAAATTGAGGATAGAAGAACTAGTACTACTTCAGCTAATAAAGGAAAAGCTAGAATCAGATGGTTGGAAGGTACCTTCGAGGATGGGACCAACCTTCCTCCCATTCCCTGCAAAATTCCTTCTGTACTGTCTTTGATCCGTAATCATCCAGCCCCTGCTTATACCTCTAACCTGAGTCTTCCTTTTGTTGAAATAAGCCAAATATGCCTCTAACTGTCATGCACTTATGCTTATTTTCTCAGTAAAGCACACTTTATCTTGAGCAGATGAAAGAGAATAGTTTGATTGCTTTCACAGAGCTGGTGCCAGGAGCGTTTGCTGTTGGGAATTCCCTAGGACAGAGCTTTCCCAACATTTTTGTTTCACAGTGCCCATGGTGTTTTAAGAAATTTGTCATGGCACCTCAAGGCCAAAAAAAAAAAAAGAAACAAAAAAACCAAAAAAACTCCTAATACTTCTACTTGCTAAGAAGTTAGGTCCAAAGAACTTAGTAGTTGTTCATATGGTGTTCAACAGATGTCACAACTGTATTTTCCTCAAAAATGTAAAATATTCTGTGAGTCAAGTCACAGTTTGGGGACTGTGGCTCTTCAGAATCAAGAGTGATTGATGTCCAGGCGCAGTGGCTCACGCCTGTAATCCCAGCACTTTGGGAGGCCGAGGTGGGTGGATCACAAGGTCAGGAATTCAAGATCAGCCTAGCCAAGATGGTGAAACCCCATCTCTACTAAAAATACAAAAATTAGCTGGGCATGGTGGCGGGCACTTGTAATTCCAGCTACTTGAGAGGCTGAGGCAAAGAATTGCTTGAACTGGGGAGGCGGAGGTTGCAGTGAGCTGAAATGGCGCACTGTACTGCAGCCTGGGCGACAGAGAGTGAGACTCTGTCTCAAAAAAAAAAAAGTAATTAGTTAAGGAACTGACAAGCAGTGACCAAGGGTCGGTTTGAAATTAGGCAATATGAGTAGGGCTCTGTGCCTTTCTCTGCAGCTTAAAGTCAAAAGCAAACTAAGTAGATTGTCAGGGATATTCAGTATGGGGGAGGGCATTGAAGGCTAGAATGGTGTCCTTGCTCTGAAAGGAGTAAAATCCTATAACTATGGCAGGAGACATCTTGGAGACTTAACATGATGTGGTACTTTTGTCTTAGAGCAAATGCCATTGTTTCCTAATGGATTTCTATGGTAGTTGGATCTTTGATTTCAAACCCAATATAAAGTTTCCTTAATAAATGCAAAGTATAGCCTATGATTCTATATATTTTTCTGTACCTCAATATCTAGCTCCTCATTTATCCTCCAGTTACTATTTCTTTTTTCATCTTTATATGCATGTTGTTCCCTCTTGTCAGTCTGGCAAACTCTTATCTTACTTTTTTTTTTTTTTTTTGAAGACAGAGTCTCACTCTGTTGTCCAGGCTGGGGTGCCATGGCGCGATCTCAGCTCACTGCAACCTCTGCCTCCCAGGTTCAAACAACTCTGCCATCACAGCCCCCTGAGTCGCTGGGATTACAGGCACCTGCCACCATGCTTGGCTAATTTTTTTTTTTTGTATTTTTAGTAGAGACAGGGTTTCACCATGTCAGCCAGTCTGGTCTTGTACTCCTGACCTCAAGTAATCTGCCCGCCTCAGCCTCCCAAAGTGCTGGGATTACAGGCGTGAACCACGATGCCCAGCCATTATCTTAACTCAAAGCTTTCCTTCTTCTCCAGACAGAATTAGATAGAACTCCTCTTGTGCTCTTGGAATTCACAGACTGTCCATAATACTATAATAGCATTTATCACATTATAATGCAATTGATAATCTGAGCTTCTGATTTTAGAAATTGTGTCATAATTCTATTTTATACCCCAGTGCTTGGCATGCTACCAGGCATATAGTAAATATTCAATAGATGTTTGATAAATGAATAAATAAATCAGAAGGATGGTCTCTTAATGCTTGTCAAAACACTAGGGAGTATATATAGAATTGGTGTCCCTACTTATGAGGAAAAAGCCCCAGATATTACATTTATCCATTTTCTTCTTTAAACAGAGTCTACTAGATGACTGGGCAAGTAAGGGAACTCTGGTGGAAGAAATCAATTGCAAAGGTACTCCTTTAGAAAATCTCATCATGGAAATCACAGCACCTGATTCCCAAGGCAAG